TATTAAGTGTTATGTCTGTGCAGATTCTCAGTCATCCAGCTCATAGTAAACTGAAAAAACTTAGAAAAAAAAAAATCAACTGGGTCAGGACTGATGAAGCCTCTTGGATGAGAGGTGAAACGTCTTCAACCTAGAAATCTAAGTCCAGTTGAAGTTTTTTCAGATTAAGTGTTATGGCTTTATAAAACTGATATGGCTTAGACAACTGCCCCTGTAGAGATCCAACAAACAGAGCAACTCTTTGGCCAGCATTCCAAAATGTAGTCAAAGTTAAATACTCAGTCCTAGCCAGACATCTCAATAGCAGAGATACCACTAAGTGTGAGTGAGTGAATCCACTAAAGATAACTGACAAGACTCAAGTCTAAGCCTAGGAAAGTAAGTATCTTTTTTCCACTTCTGAAATCAGACCTTTTACTATTTCCTCACAATCTGACAACGGCCAGTAAGTCATAGTAAATCATTACTCCAGCTCTGCAGACTATGAATGACTCAGCAGGGACAGCTCAATGAAATATTTTCTCTAGATAACAATTCAGCCTTGCACCAGGACGTAACCATAGTCAAATATACACACTGCTAACATTCTGAGAAAAACTCAAAACCTCTCCACTGGGGTAGATCAGAATTTGTATTTTTGTAAGCAAATGTATTCAGCTATCTCTCAACAAGTGACAGCTGTTGAAAGTGTTTATCGTACATTTTGTTGGCTGAAATGTGTCTTTCAGGCACACATACAGGTGTCTGATCTTCAAACTGATTAACATGTCAATATAGCTACAGTACAGTTAGAGGCATACATCTCCACAAGACACTGTCACACCCACTGTATGTAATAATGGTGGATTTTTGTTCCTCTTGGGTGAGAATAATTTTGCTCCTTCAGACTAGTGCAGGCAAATATCACTGTATAATTGATCCTAATTGATTAAAATGTCAATTCAGAGTCTCCCAGTTGGATGACAAATGGGTCAGCATGGCACATTCTTATCATAGCACTGTTGTGTGTCTTTTGTTGGTTTAATTGTCTAATATTTCAGACCATCGGCAGGATCACATCCTTTGACTCATAAATTCATCACTCAGAGCTGGTTCCTATACCAAGAGCAGTGGCACGTAACCAAAGTCAGAGGAGAGAGTGAACTAAAACCACTACCACCACCATCTCCAAACACACACAGACACAATTCTAACTTGTCCCTCCCCAGGCTATTTACAGTTTATTAGCCCTGGAGAAAGCACACTGGTTGTTTGTCACCCATACAGTGATTAAGGATGTATGGTATGTGTCATTTGAACAAAAAACTTAACAGAGACAACAGAAACACAAACTGAAGTGCAATGGCTGTATAATGATGCAAATTAGCCAAAATAATCAAGATTTCAATATATGTATTCAAAGATTGGGTGGTAAATAAAAAAGAAGACTGAACCCTCAGCAGAGGAGCACCACAAGGATGTGTGCTGAGTCCCCTCCTCTATTCCCTCTACACGTATGACTGCATAGCCGCTCAACCCACAAACATCAATTAAATTTGCTGATGACAGAACAGTGGTGGGGCTCATCTCAAATGGCAATGAGACTGCTTACCAAGATGAGGTGCAGATAATAACCTGTCACTGAATATTAGAAAGACAAAAGAGCTCATCGTTGATTTTAGTCTACATCAGCGGGAGCTCTTACCGTTGAAAATTGAGGGAGAGGAGGTGGAGAGAGTGATAAGTGTAAAGTTTCTGTGCATCCATGTCAGTTAGGACCAAAGAAAGCATATTGACATACTGTACTACATCCTGGTATGGAAACTGCTCAACAGCTGATAGAGCGGCTCTGCAGAAAATCATAGGTACATCTCAAAAACTCATTGGACTCGCTCTGCCCTCTCTAGAGGACATCTACAGGGCCTGCAACATAGTCAAGGACAGTTCCCACCTCTTCCATAAACATCTCTTGTTGCTACCATCTGGAAGACGTTATAGAGCCCTAAAGACACGTACTTCCAGACTGAGAAATAGCTTTTAGTCTACAGCAGTTATTACTCTGAACTCTCATTCTCCACTCTGCAGCATTCCCTCGGTGTCACAATAGCATTCCTGTAATTGTATTACTGTGCAATATCAGGGAACTTTATATCTGTTGTTGATGCACTTTTACCTGTTTCTAACTTGTTGGGTTTTTTGTGTTTATGATATTACACTATTTATATTTTAAATTTCCATATTGAATATGTATGTGTGTAATAGTTTTTTGATGAGCTATTAAAATTTCGTTGTGTGTGGCATATGTAATGATGGTAAAGGCATTCTGATTCTGACCTATTGTGCAATGAGGATTATTAGTGAAATGTTTGTTTCCCCCTATTTAACTGCGGCATCACCCTTATTAGTGAGTAGTGTTATTAAAACTGACAGAAACAAAAATAATACTCAAGTTGTAATAAACTGTGGTTTTACTTATAAAAACTTTACAGTTAGCCTGAAATTAGCTTTTCAGTTGTTTAAGCTTGTGAACAGCTCTTGGTGTAGACTGTCAGGGTTCGGCCAGTAACTACAGAGGACTAAGGCCACAGCACCATCTATGGTTTAAACAGCCAATAACAGAATAAATACAAAATTAAACAGCAGACAAGACTCCAAAATAACATCAGCATTGGTTTGAGTACAAACTAGCTATAGTCACAACTACAGGAAGGTTACAATACCACAGCCTCTGGTTAGAGGCAGCTTTAAAGGAGACATCTTATACAGTTTGTACCATGGTAACTATCCTTTGAACATCTGTGCTTGTGTTACATTACACATTTTGACAGTGTGATGCCATAAATGCGTTATGGCAATAATGCATTTACTTTTTTTTTTTGCATTAATCACATGAAGTATTTTCTTAACTGGAGTAAGCAAAATAAGCCAATCCTGTATGGTTTTGTCCTTTTTACAATTTCACAGCTGATTATCCAAATGCTGCAAATCAATACTGTATAAAATAACATAATCACTGATACAGAATTTGATCCATATTGCCCATACCTAGTTTGAGTAGACACTCTTCAATTGTCAGGGGAAAGTGAACACTTAAATACACTACCAGTCTTATATTTGACAAAAAAATGCATATTATTGCATATTTATCCAGCACATTGCTGTGCTGCAGTTCAAGGCTAAGTTCTCAGGTAACACTTTAGTTGAATGTCCTCAAAACTATGGAGTGGAGAGCAGATCTGGTGTCATCTCTTCAAAAGATTGTCAATAGCTTTGATTTCATCAGTGGATAGAGGAGAAAGGTTGTATCCTCTCACCTCCGGTCTACCTGCAAACACAAAGACAGACGCCATGATCATCTTTCAGGGGATTGCTGGGATGATATTCAGTGTGGTCACAGACCAGTTTTGACTTCAGCTAGCAGGCTGAACAAAACAAACTAAAAAAAAAAACTAGATATTGATTTAAAATATTTCCTCTTGCATTGGGTGCAATTGTGACTGAGCTCTTTGTCCAAAAACAACATGAAGGAACTTTCCATTTTGACTAGTTTTACCAGATAAATAATTATTGAGTTGCAACCCCTCCCTGTTGTCCTCCTCCAGGTTCTACAGCTGTCTCCTTTAACACAGACTGAACTCTGTTTCCATTTCAACTGACTGTAGGTCTCTCAGAAAACTTTTTTTTCCTGTACAAACATAAGTTATTGGAGACCAAACATTCCTCCTCAGGGGCCTGAGGACATATTTCACATTGATGACAAAGGTTTTCAGACAGTTTTTCATCTCAGCTTTCACGGATCCACAGATTAACCACCTTCAGTACTGTGCAAAAGTCTTAGGCCACCATTAGATTTGTTTTAGCAATGATATGATGACTATGTTTCTTTACCAAAATACAACTACAAAATATAGGAAATATATACACAGTATTAAAAAAAACCCATCATAAAACTCTATACTCCACATGTGGTATTCAAGCTGAGATTAAGGACAAAAATAACAGTAAAAGACCTAAAGAAACTGCTAGAATCTATTAATAAGTTTCTCTAAGCTTCTTCTTTGAGGGACTGGAGGAAATCCAGCATCTGGCAGCTTCACCTGGGTGCCAAGTTGATACTTCCACAGTCTGAAGAAGCTTGATTAGGAATAGTCTTTGTGGAAGGACAGCAGCCAAGAAAGCACTTTTTCAGAAGGGGACAGGGAGAAAAGGCTGAGTCATGCAAAACACTCACAAAGATTGGAGTAAAAATCTGTGGAAAAGAGTCTAATGGAGTGATGGATAGAAGTTTGAAGTGTCCAGGTCCAATCGTTGACAGTATGTGAGAATAAGAGTTGAGATAGAAGTAATGAGTGCCAGCAGCCTTCAGTGAAACATGGTGGAGGGTCTGTCATGGTGTCAAAACTTCAACAGTCTCCCCAGAAGCATTCAAGCTGTGCTAATTGCAAAGAGAAGTCAATACATACTGACTTTGGACTGTATAAGCCATTTTGTTATGAAAATTAAAATGTTTAATACTGTGTACATACTATATTTCCTGTATTTGCTGATTATATCTTAATAAAGAGACAAAATCAACATAAATTATAATTTTAATTATAAATCATTACAACCTTGCTAAAACAGCAAATCAAACAGTGGCCTAAGACCTTTGCACAGTACTGAATGTTTTAACGTTCAAGTGAATGTAAACTACAAGAGTGTACTTATAATACCTCATAGGATTTTCTCATCTGAAATACCCCAGTACCCCAGGGCTCTGTTCTTGGCCCTCTCCTCTTGTTCTCTATATGTTTATATTTCACCTCTCAGTCAAGCGTATTTCCCAAAACTGTTCCTTTAAATTAGTAGGTTGCAAGAGATCAAACAAGCAGCCAAAATGCTCTTCATACCTTGGATCTCATTGAGACGATTAACTTTTGCTTTCAGTCCTTTGCGAAGGTCATTTATCTCTTTGTCAAGCTGCTCCTGGTCTATGAATTGAGGAACAAAGATCAAAAACAATTTCAGGATGATCAGGATGATACTGTTTAGTCACAGTATGTGTAACACAGGTCAATTTATATTCAGGGAAAATCAATATATTTAGCTATCATACTAATTGGCAGTTTTTACCTTTCTGAATCATTTCTCTTGTCTTTGATTTGGGAAATCTGATGAACATGGTTCCAAAGCAAACCTTCACTTTTTCTGCAAAAAACAGCAGTGCTTAGTCTCATTTCATGTGTGACACATCTCTCCAATATTACAACCATCCACCACATTCACATCAAGGCAGTAAATGTATTTTTCTTTGAAATATCTATAATTATCATTTACATAGTCTAAGCAAATGGCTGTCAGTGAGTGCCAGGTAACAAGTGTGACTCAAACCAAATGCAGTGAAAAGTCCACATTACAAAACCTCTCCTCTGGGGCAACACCTCGTCCTGAAGGGTTACTCACCTGAATCTGACATTGCAGTTTTCAGTGCATTCAAAGCCTCTCTGTTCCTGTTTCTCTTTTTGTCCAGGTCCACAATCTGAAACAACACAGCCCATTATCTAATATTGTTTTTTTATTGATTACTAAAACATCATCAGACTCATAGACTGCACCAATGGTTAATATCTATACAGTAGTTTATAATATAAATATGCATTATATTACAGTGTTTCAGGAGAAAATTTCTGTAATATTGTCAGGTGGCATCATTTTAAAAGCCTGTTATAGTTGTACTGTATGTTACTGTAATATACTGAATGTCCATCAAAATCCAAACTTGTATTAAATATCACCTCAAATAGTCATTGCTTGGGTAGGTAATTGGTTTTCAATTTTAGCATTCAAATAATCAGCTCCAGCTGAATGTGCCTTCCTGTCAGCAGCGGAGCAGTTCCCATACCAAGTGGTAATGGATAAAGTGAGGGTACTCTCCACCACACACCAGTAAAAAGCTGTCAGCACTGGGATGTTCAGACTGGCAGTATTCTCCCTGCCAAAAGCTGATTACAGCTAGTATTGTGATATTGACAGGGGTTTTCTGACCCAAATTAATTTTAATTTCAGTCTTGTAGGCTATATTTCAACCGCAGTTAACCACTAGGTTTTGTGCAACTCTAAAGGGCCAGTTTAACCAGTAAAACGCAGTTTATCTTTACCAAAAAGTGATTTAAACTAAAATCTTAAAAATGAAAAGGGGGTTTTCAAATTAACTTTATTTTTCTAACTCTAACTGATTTTTATATCCTGTACTGTACACTGTTTCTATCAACATACATAATGTGTAACACCATACACCGATATGATTAATATAGTTATAAATACTTATTATATAAGTTTTTTCCAGAATACATGTTTGTCTTGGGAACAGTGTACATATATTACAAGATCCACATATATAGTGAACTGGCTTCAATCACACTTTACATTTAGCTGTATTTATTTTAAAAAATATATCAAATTAATCAGCCATTTCACAAACAAATGTTACATATTACCACCTAAGTACATCCAGAAGTTATGACTCAAAAAAGCCTGACTGCACTCTAAACTGTTACAGCTTCTTTTGGCTACAATTACAATTATTCAGATACAATTTCCTCCAAAGTTCAAGTTTTACAAAGACATACCTTTGTACTACCAGTCATTGGGCATTTTATCATATTTTGGTTCCAACAAAAGCAGCTGTATGCAAATATAAATTGGCCAATGCATTTTTTATTGGGCTGTGCACGCTCCTGCAGACTGTAATCACTTTCTGGCAGGCAGACACTTTTTGGCACATCACCGGTACCAGGCGATGGAAAAGGTGACCATGCTAGGCAGCCTCAGGGAAGAGGGCTGAGGGAGGGCTGCGTCTCCATAGACACAGACAGCTTCCTCCACACTTTGCTGTCCTGCCTCAGGTTCACCAGTTTATTAAAAATGCATAAAACAAATATTTGGACTGTGTGACAAGAGCATCAACTATGTTATAGGATACTCAATAAATGCAGAATGAATCGTCCAATGTTAACATAAATCACTACATGTGATATATTACGCACTGTAATGGGCATTCATTTGATTCCATGTAGTAGGGTACACCGATAAATAGCGTGTTGAGAGTAGTCCAAATGATCCTATGGACTGATGTACAGAGCTCTAATTTACTTCACATTCAACATCTGCCCCTGGTTACATACTAGCTAACTAAACTAACGTTAGCTTGTTTACCAAACTACAGCGAGGTCTCACCTCTCTCATCCTCATCTCTCCGAACCCCTTCCCTCTCTCTCCCTCATCTAAAGAAATTTCTTATGTCCATCTAAAGGAGTCAATTATGTTTGAGTCAAAATAAGTTAATCGGGTTTATTCAAATGCTTTGACATTCTAGATTAGAACAAATGGATTCTTTCCCCAAATTAAATTAATCCAATGCAAAATATAGAAGCTTGTTAAAACTCGAATGTGTGCTTTTACTGGGGCACGTGTCCCAGTAAAAGTGGTCTACTGACGCCTATGTTTACAGTGCTTACACTTAACTGATGCTAATGCCACCGCTTTTTTCTTTAGTGTTCTGTCCTTACTATTAACACAAGACTACCAAACATTTTGCGAGATGGGCTTGATAATTCCACGATAAAGACAAGAATGACAACAAGAAGACAACAGAAATGTGGAAATTTAGTTATAGTAAAAACTAGCAGGGAACCATAAATTAGCTAGTTAGCTTAGCTTCTAAATTCTCAATTATAGTTCTTGATATCCGTCCTCCGATGCCCGTGCATTTAACCAACATGCAGCTTTTAATTACGAAGTATTTAGCTACCTGTTGTTTAGTGGTGAGAACATCCTCAGCTGCCTCTTCAACTTCAGTTAAATACTCCAAAACACGCTGAGTTACAGCATCCATTGTGGCTGTGTAGCTACAAAAACATGCCCGGTCTGAAACAACGACTGGAAACAAACAGTACCGCTAGAGAATTTATGAAACCCCTATGTGGTGGCTCCGAGAGCCCCATGCACTGCATCTTATAAAACCAAATACATAACCATAAACAAAATAGTTCACAATTAAGTGACAAATAATAAAGAATAATATTTTTATAGATTAGTCAAATCATTGTGGTATTATATTATTTCATTTCTATTTGGTTTAAAAACATGCCATCCTCCTAACATCCTCTCTCTATGAATGCTATAGAAAACAACTACATTTTATTTTCTTAATGCTCATCTATTCAGGTATAAAACATTCTAAAATGCATTACTAATTTTGATGAGTTTGCAGTAATTGAAGCATGTCAGTAAAACATGTCAGAAAAGCTGTAAGTGATCAAATCTACAAATATACAGAACTGGGACTAGTATGCATGTGAAAATATAAAAGGTAATGTTGATGGCATGACACAGAGCAGAAGCTGAGTGAAGACAAAACATTTGTCTTCCTCCAGAGCAATCCTTTTATTTCTGTCAATTTATTGTTATTTCTTGTTGGTTATAAATGCTTTGATGAAAAAAAGTTCCAAAAATATTTGTCTTTCCAATATTGAGATGGATTATGGTTTACATGTTTATGTACCACAATTAGTGCAAAAGAGTGACTCTAACTTCAGATTTTTGCTTCAAGATTCATTAATTCATAGTAAATGAGACTCCCGTGAAACAATGAATTTATTATTTTGAACAGGAATGCAGTAAACCACAGTAAACACAGGAACAATCAAATGGAGGAATAGTCTGAGTCAGTTTCCTCTGCAGAAAACAGCAGCAGAGAGGTTTTCTCAAGTGAGGAAGCGTCGAAATCCACCCTTTGCTACTTGGTCCTCACCTTGGCTGAGATTTGGGTGCTTCTGCTCCACATCAGGGAGAACCTGAACAACTGTTTTTCCCTTGGGCTGCTCACTTGTGAACTCACCTTCTAGGACTGAAGCAGTGAGTGCTGGTTCAGCTGGAGGGGTCAGAGGAGGTGGTAGAGGTGACACCACAGCAGAATCTGGTTCTGTGCTGAGTGTAAGCTGAGCTTCTGGTCCATCCAATGCAATGTTGGTTGATGGCTCAGCACTGGCTGTCAGTGGAGTAGATCTAGGCGACACCACAGCAGAGTCTGGGTCTGGACTGGGTGTTAGTTCAGCCTGGCAGGAGATGATGACACGAGGTTCATCAGCGGGGGTCTGAGGGAGGAGAGGAGCAGACACCACAGCAGGGTCTGGTTCAGAGCAAGTTAGTGGCTGCACTGCTGGCTCATCCAACGCAATGTTGGCAGGAGGTTCAGCACTGGTGGTCAGTGGAGCAGGTGGATGACAGACAGCAAAAGGCTCTGGTTCTGGGCTGGGTTTAGGCTGCTCTGCTGCTTCAGTCTGACTTATAGTGTCACTGTCATCAAGAGCATCGTTGGCAGGCAGTTCAGTGGTCAGAGAAGCTGGTGGAGGAGAAACTTCCTCTGATTCTGGTTATCTGCTGGACTCTTCACTCATATCACCGGCCAGGACTGAAGCAGTGACTGCAGGTTCCGCTGGAGGGGACAGAGGAGGTGGAGGAAAGACACCACAGCAGAGTCTGGGTCTGGGCTGGGTGTATGCTGCTCTGCTGCTTCAGTCTTACTCATAGTATCACTGTCTTCAACAGTGTCAAAGTGCCCTGGGGTGAGACACTGAACCCCACTTGCTGCCGATGACCAGAGCAGTGCTGCAGTGAGTTGGCTGCCTCGGTTCTGTACTGGAGACAAACTCTTTGTGTGTAACGTACTTGGCCAATAAAAGTGATTAAAAATTTAAATTAAGTTTTAAAACATTCACTATGAAATGGATGATGAGATTTAATCAGTGAGGTAAAGTTTTAATAATTGGTGAGATGCAGGTGTTATTTTTCCATTTTGAAAAGCTTTTGCATTGTTACCGTGCCACAGCAGAGACTCTGAACCGTGGCTCCACCAGATACTCCGACCTGATGCACAGTAATGATTATTCAACCATCATAACAATATTATAACAGCAGGGCTGCAGCTACTGGAAAGACTGTCCTCCTCTAAAAACTTGACTCCTTATGTCGTTTGTGCTAGCAACCATTCCAGTGGGCATTCATCCACATCAGTTTTGGATTTCTACAGGTTGGGGGCTTGTTAATAGATTTCACTTGATCATCTGTGTCTGAATCAGAAGACGAAAGCATGAAGCTGGACGTCTTCCTCTTCTATGCTGATTGTTCCGCTGTGGTCTCAGCAGATGGATCCTGAGCTTGCCTCTCCTTCACCAGGTTGCCTGTAGAATCCCACACTTCAGCCCTTTCAGGTTTGGAAAGACACTTTAAATCCTCAAACCCGGCATCTATTGCAGTGGCAATCCTGAGCCAAGTGAGGCTGGTGTTTATCTTCTAGGTCTTCAGTAAATGCTTTGTTGAACCTTACAATATAAACTGGATCATCATCTGAGAGCTATGCTTGAAGGCTTTTCTTAAAATTTGCCAAAAACATTCACTTGGACCCAGGGATGATGTTACAGATCTCTTTATCAGCCCTCTGTAACAACAGTCTAATTGAAGACAGCATGTTTCTCACTCGAAATGATTTTCTACAGTCATATGTGTCAATGTAGTGATGACTTCCCTGTTACTAAAAATGTACATTTAATATCTAATATTAAAGTTTTCAGTTTTCACTACATGAATTCTATGATCCTGGACAGATGTATGTGAACTGCAACTTGACTGGCTGGTGGAGGCACACAATTGCAAGTCAGCCATTCTATTTAGTTTTTTGTTTAATTTTTCATGCATCAAAAGACATAATAAACTAATTAATTTTTGTCTTGAAATATTCTCATGCAAAGGTCAGCACCCTCAGGGGTGCCAGCAGAACATTTCATCTATCCAGAAATGGACTAAACCGAGAGAGATGGCTTTTTATTTACATCACTAATAAAATTGGCAGTGTTAAAAAAAATTTCATAGTCATATTTACATAGTGTATTGTGCTGACAAGTGCTTACTGGGTGAATAAATAAATAATAAAAGAAGAAAACAAAAAAATACATTTCCATACACATGGCAAGATTTATGTAAGTCACCAGTTCATGTAAAGGTCCACTGCAGCATCATAGCTGAATAGCAATGGATTTATCCTAATAATTTAACTTTAATTAGCTGAGAACCAAAAAAAATTTTTTTTTAAATCATCACAATCAAAATAACAAAAGAAAAGCAAAAGAAAAACTTGCTACACTTTCAATCAAACTATTCAACTATTTGAAAAAACACATTCATATTCCAATATTAAGAGACATGACTGTAGGTGTGGCATATACACATACAGTAATCAAGAGGCTGTTATGTCATAAATTCAACCTGTTTTGGCTTGATTGGTTTGTTATCTGGAGAATATTTGGAACCAGGTAAATTGTCCATTATTGCAGTTACAGCATCTGGTTTTATTTCCTGTTCCTTAAACTCAGCTGTCCTCCTTCGCTCAGTTCCTCCTTTCCTACACTCAGACCCACTCCGTCTTTTCTCTAATCCGTTCTGTTGTCTTTCTCCTCCACCTCCCTGCTGCTCTGACCCACTCCTTCTCCTAAATACCCCTGTCTTCCTGTAGTTCAACCCATTTCCCCGTGCTCCCACACAGTCCCTCCCAATCCCAAAACTCGAGTCCCTGGCAGTATAATGAGGCTTAGTGTTAGCACCTTGAACAGGGTTGCGGATGTTGCCTGAGGCTTGCATTCTCCGCAGGTGGCTGTTGGCCCTCACAGGGCTGCTGAACATCTGAACTTGGAATGCTGAACTCCTGTCTGGGGCGTGCACCCGGCTCTCACTGTAGCTCCTTTTGGGGAGTGACACGAGCCCCCTGCGCTCCAGAACAGGGCTTACTCCGGCCTGACGGGTGTGGCTGTGGGTGGGGCGGCAACACGCTGTGCTACAGGTTGAGTGCCGGAAGCGGCATAAAGTGCAGGCACAGCTGGAGAGCAGGGCAGAGTGACTGATCAAGGAGGAAAGGAAGGTGAGGGGGAAGGCACGCTGACACTGGAGGATACACTTAGGAGAACTGAGGCGTGATGAGGCAGCAGCAGTGGACCTGTGGCAGCTAAGAAGAACATCTGACACAGCCGACTTCCCACTCTCCTCCTGGACAGTCTGGATCTGATGCCACTCCAGCTGCAGCAGCCTCTCCAGGTACATTTCCAAAGGGCCCACAGGTCTTGGCCGAGGGGCCCCCCGGCCCTCCATGTTGTAAAAGACAGCCAGCTGACTGAGGCTCCAGGAGTTAAAAGGTGGAGGAAGGAAGTCTGGGAAGTCAAAACTACCATGGCCCTGTGCTCTGGGTCTGTGGCTGCGAGTGGAGCAGTCTTCAGCCTCGATGACCTCTGGCCTCAGCTCAAGTTGTGGAAGAACCTGAATGGGTGAAACAAAAAGTCTCTCTGACTCAGACAAATCAGTGTCACTGTCACCTTCTCCATGGGCACTCAGGCTTCCCACCTTCAACTCTGGTGAGTGTCTGTCCAGCAGATGAGGACTTGAGTCAGACAGGCAGTAGCAGGGGAAGGCTGGTGTGTGTCTGCTTCCTCTCACAGCTGTGTGCTTCTGTCCTCTGTGGCCACAGTGCTGAGCAGCTGGCTGAGTAGCTGGCTCCATCCTGTCCTCAACAGGGGACGGTGGGTGGGGTTTTGATGCAGAAGTTCCCTGAGCACTAAAAAGCAAAAGCAAATCATATATTAACACTCCAGCAGCAAAGAATGACACAGAACTTTACAAACAGCAATCTCACCTGTGCTGAGTGCTGTGTTTAGCATTAGGCTTGTGCTTTCTTCTCGGCTGCTGCCTCTGTGATTACAAAGAAACCTGTTAGACCTGCATGTGTTTTCAACCATTCACTATATATATTCACTCTTTAAACACATATTTCAAACTAAAACTACAACTGGAGATTATTTCCATCACTGATTAATCTATTACTTTCTCTGTGAACTGTTTGGACTATGAATTGTCTGAAATAGTGAAAAACATCCTACCCATTGTAATTCTCCAGAAGTCATGGCAACAAATGTCCTGTTTTGCCCAACCAACAGTTCAAGGCTCACATTTATTAAATTTATATGAAATGCTGCTAATCTTTCTAAACACCTGAAAACTGCAGATGTTTGTCATTTCTGCTTGGGAAATGATCAATTATCATTCTAAGCTGCTATTAATTTACTGTCCAGTGACTAATCAATTAAACTACTCATAGTCACTTCACACTTACTTTCTCGTTATTAATTTCTTGACTTGGAAACGTGTGTTGTGGTTGCAGTGACTTCCTTTGTGACTGCCGCCTTCCCATTCTGTTGCTCGGAAAATATAAAATATGAACGTATTAAATATTAGAAACAACTAATGACTCAAATAACAACGCATATGAAAATGAAATATGGATACCACAAGGCATCCCGCGACGTGCAGTGACGCCGACATGTCGGTAATTACATATATAAAGCACAAACGCACAACATTTCGACATATAAGTGCAGTGATACTGACATCGGAAAGAGCTTTACAGGGATGGCGCATCCCCGCCTCACCATTCGTTTTAAAATAATAGTCTAACATCTGACTCTACCTGGCCACATTAGGCCCGCTGCTGCTCCACACCTTCCTCCATTCTCTGTCCCTGATGGACACCCTCTCCAGACACCGTTGTGGCACTCGTTCCTGCAGAATCGTGCCCATCCCAGCTTAAGAAGGCACCAATGAAATGGGCGAGTGGGCTGTTCACGACAAACACAGTAACATAATCATGTGATGGGTCGGGGGGGGGGGGGGGGGGAAAAAGAAAAACCTCCTTACAGATATGTTCGGCGTGATGCACGATTCCACTGCCGTCCAGCAGAGCGCAGTGCAGATCTGTACAGTAGGTCTATTACAGTACAATGTTCTACCCGGTCTTCATAATTTAAAGGGACAAGGATGGGAATAAACAGATCCAATAAAAGACAACTGGGTATTTGTGTACAGGAAGTCTATATACCATAAATGAAAAAAGCGTTTTCTCAATATCACAAACATTATTCTTTGATTTCTTTTTCTTGAACAGGCTATTGTTATTTTCAGTGGTAGAAGACATAGGATGCCAACATCTGTTGCATGTCAGAACTGGTCCATGCATTTGTTACTTCCTGGCTGGACTACTGTAACTCTTTACTATCAGGATGTCCCAATAGTTCCCTAAAAAGCCTCCAGTTAATCCAAAATGCTGCAGCCAGAGTACTGACAGGAACTAGCAAGAGAGATCATATCTCTCCTATATTAGCTTCTTTCCACTGACTCCCTGTAAAATCCAGAACAGAATTTAAAATCCTTCTCCTAATATACAAAGTCCTTAATGCCAAGGCTCCATCGTATCTTAAAGACCTCATAGAGCCTTATCATCCTAACAGAGCACTTCGCTCTCAGAGTGCAGGTCTACTTGTGGTTCCTAGAGTCCACAGAAGTAGAATGGGAGGCAGAGCCTTTAGCTATCAAGCTCCTCTCGTATGGAACCCAGTCTCAGCTCGGGAGCCGGACACCCTCTCTACCTTTAAGATTAGACTTAAGACTTTCCTTTTTGATAAAGCTTATAGTTAGGGCTGGATCAGGTGACCCTGAGCCTTCCCTTAGATATGCTGCTATAAGCCTAGACTGCTGGGGAGCCCCATGATGCTCTATATGCTTCTATATGCCACCATTACACATCACTAACTTTGTGTCTAACATGATACACTAAGATGATCCATCCATCCATTATCTATACCACTTATTCCTGAATAGGGCCATGGAGGGACTGGAGCCAATCCCAGCTGACACTGGGTGAGAGATGGGGTCCACCCTGGACAGGTCGCCAGTCTATTACAGGACTGACACTAAGAGACAGACCACACACACTCACACTCACTCCTAGGGGCAATTTAGAGACGCCAATCAACCTAAGCTGCATGTCTTTGGACTGTGGGAGGAAGATGGAGTATCCGGAGAGAACCCACATGCTTGAACCTGGACATTAAGATGATGAACATGGAAAACATTATAGCTGCTTGGCATTATTATGTTGGCATTGTGAGCATGTTTGCATGCAGACTGGTGTTCACATTTCACTCAAATACAGGATCACAGAGCTGCTACTATAGCTGTACTAAAGTCACGCAGGTCTTTTGTTTATATATCTAGCACATTTCTGTATATTTCTGTGAATATGTGGTGTGCTACTTCAAAACAATAAAATATCTCATATAAATTTGATCTCTACTTGTGAAATTTTGTTTTACTGATGATCTGGCTGTAGGTTTTGTATGACCTATATCCCAAACCATATAAAAATAAATTACAAATAATTAGCCCACCAAAAAAATTACCAGTATTCTGTCTAGCTTGTGTTCCTTTGCCATAGACTGAATCGACTTCCCTTCTGTCACTTGCCTAGCTGCTCTTCTTTGAACTTCCACAGGGGCTGAGCCCTGGTTTGTCTTACATTTTCAGCTTCTTGGCATGATGATTTAAGATCTGCAATATCACAAAATAACACCTGAATACCTATAGTCACTAATTGAACCACATTTTAAGGAAATAAGAATGTGACTTTGACTGGCACATTTTATTCCACAACCACCATTTTGAGAAAACAGCTTTATACAGCAATTCAGACTGACATTTATGTTAACTTTATGACCACATGCTGTAGCTTATACATCTTAAAGCTAATATGTAATAGCATCTCAAATTTATCTTTTCCCATTTAGGTACAAGTCTGGTGACACCTTGACCATGATGAATTTACTAGGCATGACAAAAAGTACATTTTCAGACCATGTTATTGCTCTTCTCTGTCACAGACTGAGTGAAATAAATTATTCTTCCTTAATCTGTGGTGTGTTTTTGTATTAGATAAATTTAACAGGTTAATGTGATCAATCAGACTGTTAAGGCTCACTGAGTATTACAGTCAGGGGTCACTAGTGAGAGAACACCTCTTACGACACAACTACAGGAGTTGATTTTATTGCGATGACATCACTTCATCCACATGAGCTTGTGCATCCCTCTGCATGTCTTCTCAGTCAGTGTCCACATGTGCATCACTGTATGCAGGAAGCTGATGTCCTCACTGCCTTCTGTCTCCTGTGATGTCACTTAGTACTCAATGGTCACTGCCTTTGTCTTCAGGTATTCGTTGAGAGCCTCCTGTCCTGTTGAAGTAACACAGAGAGTATCTGTAAATATGGATGTTAATCAAGAAGGGTAGTTGTCATGATCCTGCCCCGTCTGCTTCCGGGATCCTGCTTTTATTTTGGTACCACTTCCTGTCACCAGCTCATCCACAACCCCGGTAACTTCATCTCATCATACACATTGGTTTCACCTGCCACAAATGTCAGGATTTTCAAAGGATAATTTCCCTTTTTTCCAACTCTGTCACAAATCAATACTCATGTGCTCATACTGCATGTACCGTACACTGGTTACTGTAATCATTCCTTCTGTCCATACTGACTGTATGAGGTCTCTTACAAATGAGATTTTTACATTAACTATTTAGTATTGGATTAAAGTTGGTATCAGCAGATACCCAATGGTAAAGAATTCAAATCGCAATCAGGGCAAAAAAAAAAAAAAAAAAAATGGCTGGGACCTCCCCAATTAAAATGCATAAATAAAAGAATGCCAACTAGGGAGTAACAGCTGCAGTTTTTCTTACCCAGGTCTTTGCCAAATCCAGATTGTTTGAAGCCTCCAAAAGGCGCAGCCACATCAGTCTTGTTGTAGGTGTTGACAAAAACTGTGCCAGCATTGAGCCTTTCGCTGACGTACAGAGCTTTGCTGATGTCTCGTGTGAAAACACCTGATGCCAGGCCATACTCTGTAGCATTGGCCCTTCTTAGGACATCATCCACCTCACTGAGGCAGGGAGACAGAGAGAAGAAGAGACACAAGGCTGGGCTCATGAGGTCATACTGATTCTGCGAGCTGTCGTAAATAAAGCAAAATGGCGATATGAATAATTTCACAGTGTGAATTAATCTTGAGTCAGCCTTACGCGCCCTTGAACTTGGAAATGATCATGATGGGGCCAAATGATTCCTCTTTAGCGATGTACATGTGGTCTTGCACATCAGTGAACACTGTGGGTTCAAAGAAGAAACCTGGAAGGAGAATTAGTCAAACAGCATCATCTATCATATCAGAGGTGGACCACTGTGACTGATCTCTGACACTTTCAGCCTTTTGTGGCCTTACCTGGTCGCTGTACCTGTTTGCCACCACAGACCAGGGTGGCTCCCTCCTTGACACCAGTCTGACAATACTCCACCAGTTTGTCCAAGTGGGCTTTGTGGTTCTGAGGCCCGTGGTCTGTGGAGCGGTCCAGTGGATCACCAATCTTCATCTTCTTGACTTCCTCAACCTGAGAGACGGAGAGAAAGACATCCAAACAGCCTTTAAAGTCCATATGATATTACATTTCTCATCCTTTTCTGAAGTCAAGATGTTCTATATGCCACCATTACACATTACTAACTTTGTGTCTCCTCTCTCCCGTAGTGTGTCCTCTCTCTCTCTCTCTCTCTCTCTCTCTCTCTCTCTCTCTCTCTCTCAGCAGTCACCGGCCACATCAACCTGCCCAGTGTTTGATTGTTTGTTGTGTCTTGTTTCGTTTCTTTTCTCTCTCCTCTATCCACTCACCCCAACCGGTCGAGGCAGAAGGCCGCCCACCAAGAGCCGGGGTCTGTCGGAGGTTTCTTCTGTTAAAGGGAGTTTTTCCTCCCCACTGTCGCCAAGTGCTTGCCCAATGGGGATTTGTTGGGTTTTCCTCCATAATAATAGTGATAATAGTAAGGTCTAGAGTCTAGACCATACTTTGTAAAGTGACCTGAGATGACTTTTGTTGATTTGGCGCTATACAAATAAATTTGATTGAAACTGTAGTATAAGTATTCATCTACACTGAAATTCAGATCAGAAATGAATCAAATGCCTCTAGGTGGCTTTTTACCTTTCAGAAGTGTGGAAGAAATCAGAATTGAGAATCATCAGCAGTGTGAGCTAAAAAGACACATACCACTTTTTTCACAAACTGGTCATGAATAGTGTCTTCCACAAACAGTCTGCCAGCTGCAATGCAGTTCTCTCCTTTGTTGAAGAACACTGAGCTCATGCCCTGAAATACATACACATTAACACCACAGTTTTACTTCTGTAATTACTCAAAGCTACAATATACAGGTTCTGAAAATCAAACTATCACTAGCATGAGACTGGAAAGCAGACCACTCTGCTTCTGCCACCCCTCCATCTTTTGTACTCCATCTTTCTGTATATGTACACTCAGCAAACAGTTTATTAGATCACATGTACAGCTGCATGCAATCCAATACAACGGCTTTGCTATAAAATCTATATTTATGAAGCTCATAATGTTTGTGGTGGTTATTTGACATGCATAAATTCAATTATATGTTTATTATTGTGGTCACTGTGTACTTCACTCCACTGTATTACAGAATGAATAAATACACTGTACCATGCGCACAGCCTTGTCCATATCACAGTCACTGAAGATGATAAGAGGGGATTTTCCTCCAAGCTCCAGAGAGACTTTCTTCACATTACTGATTGCACAACTGTAGATGAATATTAATACAGACACACAAAGATGAGTGGTTATGGTAAATCGCATTTTGATCAAGTTTTGTAAATGTGTTTTAATTCTCACCTTTTCATGATCTGTTTACCAATTTCAGTGGAACCTGTGAAACCTAGCTTACGAACATCAGGGTGGTCAGACATATGCTGACCCACCAGAGCCCCTGAAAGAAAAGCTTGAGATTAATTGCATAGCATCATTAGTCAATTTCAGCCTCGTGTGATTCTTGACAAGGAAGCCAATAACTTTCATTCTGTTGATGAGTTGCTCATACTCAAAGTGTATGTAAGGGAACATTGTGTGTGGGTGTGGTGTACGAATGTTAACACTTTGTAATAATTCTTTAGTATATTACTTGTGTGGTGTAGAAGATAATTATTTAAGAATTTAATTATGTAAGAATGTTAACACTCTGTTATAATTCTTTATTTTATTACTTGTGTGGTGTAGAAGAGAATTATTTATGTAGAGATACTGCTTGCAAACCAATGATGTAAGATGATGTCATGGGGTAGGACTGGATAAGTCTGACTTCTTCCTCCTCCATTCAAGCATGTACTAGGTATAAGCAAATTGATATTGGATTAGCATTTGTTGGATATGTGTAAAATTATGTGTGTTGACATATCAACTGTCTTTACATGCTTGAAAGAAATCAAATCAAATCAAATCAATTAAATTAATCAGGGATGATCTACCAAAGCACAAATGTACTGACCAGCCAGGGTGAATGTGTGTTCCTACCTGATCCAGGCAGAATATTAATGACTCCTTTGGGCAGTCCTGCCCTTGCTGCCAACTCAGCAAACTTCAGAGCCGTCAGTGGAGTCACCTGGAAACAAACATAAATTACTTCTTTTTAAAAATCCGCTCAACAGAATTGCTACAGATTACACATTTTCATGAAATCTTGGATGAATAGGGATTGACTGCCGGTGTGGAGGCTGACATAAGCAGGTTTGAGGACTACTGTGTTTCCAGCTGCCAGACAGGCTGCGGTCTTCCAGGCCAGCATCATCAGAGGGTAGTTCCAAGGAATCACAATGGCACACACTCTGAGAAGAAAGAAAGGGAGGATTTGTGGCGTGATATTGACACAAGTGTCCCTTTATAACTTTCATAATTTATGTATTTATGTAACTGGAACGACGGTGATTCAAGAACTTTATGTGCTCATAGGATTGAGGTATTCTACGCCATTTTGCTTCATTTTGCAACATTTATTTATTCCAGATACCAAATCTAAGTGAGTAATAAAGGTTGTTTTGTTGCTGATGCCAAGTTAGGGTACATCATCAGTGATGTTACCTGAGGTCATCAGGTGTTTTGAGTCATTCAAACATCAGGAAACACTGAGGTTGATCAAGCCTCAACTTGTGCCCTAGCAGTACTCGCCCATGAATCCACTCTCTTGATCCAGAACCACCTGGAAGCTTTCTCTGCAGCCTCTGTGTTATTAAAGATGGCCCTCTCCCTCCTGTTGTCTTGGTAGTTTTGTATCATATTATGATGCTGTAGGATGTGCAATGTTCACCTGAGCTCATTAAGTAAATTGCCTAAACTGGGAAACTCTCATGTCTTGATTCTTCATCAACTTCTTCTAACATCCAAATACAAAAAGTCAGCAAATTCCTTTCAGGTGTTGAATGCAGTGTAAGCCCAATAGAGGGACTGTCCTGTAAATCCTCTATATCCAACCTTCACAGGTAAGTTATCTACAATTCAATTCTGCGTAAGCAAAATGTAAAATCCAGATCTCTGTAATTACATTAAAAATATCTTTAATTTGAAATTTGTAAAATCCAGCTCTTTGTAATTATGTTCTAACTATTCAAAATTCAAATTAAAGACATTTCTTATGTAATTTTGACCAGTTAGAATTCCAATTACAGATAACTTTAATTTGGCACATTTAAAAGATATCCAAATTATCTTTTTGGATGTCTCAAACTAAGCTATGACTAGTCAAAATTCAATTGTAGATATCTGAAACTGGAGTTATGATTAGACAAAGTATAACTGCAGATATTTATTTTTCAGTTCTGACTAGTCATAATTACATTATAACTCATTATCTAGAAATCTGGACGAGTTTGTTTTACAACCTAAATTATGACAACCCAGAGTTGAGTCCAGGATGCAGGGTCGCAATCTTACACGCCTCTCTGCTGTCTCCTTGCAGCTGCTACCCACCCAACGCTTCCAGTACCCCATAGAGACTGTGTCTGCCCCCCGCCCACCTACATTATATACAGTGGGTACGGAAAGTATTCAGACCCCCTTAAATTTTTCACTCTTTGTTATATTGCTGCCATATGCTAAAATCATTTAAGTTCATTTTTTTCCTCATTAATGTACACACAGCACCCTATATTGACAGAAAAACACAAAATTTTTGACATTTTTGCAGATTTATTAAAAAAGAAAAACTGAAATATCACATGGTCATAAGTATTCAGACCCTTTGCTGTGACACTCATATATTTGACTTAGGTGCTGTCCATTTCTTCTGATCATCCCTGAGATGGTTCTACACCTTCATTTGAGTCCAGCTGTGTTTGATTATACTGATTGGACGTGATTAGGAAAGCCACACACCTGTCTATATAAGACCCTACAGCTCACAGTGCATGTCAGAGCAAATGAGAAT